TACTGGCCTGTTACAAACTAGTCAGAGGGGACTGGCAGGCATTGGGGGAGTTCCTGTTCCCCCGAGCACTACCAAGAGTGACTAGAAATAACGGTCACAAGCTGGCAGAGGGTAAATTTAGATTAGACATCAGGAGGCACTACTTCACTGTCAGGGCGGCTAGGACCTGGAACGAACTTCTAAGTGAAGTGGTGCTGGCTCCTACTCAGGGTGTCTTTAAGACAAGGCTAGACAACCACCTTGCTGGGGTCATTTGACCCCAGTACTCTTTCCTGCCATGGCAGGGGGTCGGACTTGATTCTCTTCTCAGGTCCTTTCCGACCTTACTAACTATGAAACTATGAAACAATCAGATATTTGACTTCTGCTAGGTAGTTTGTACTCTTGCAGACTCCCTCAGGGAATTGGCTGAGTTGGTCAAGACCAAGACCAAGAGGATGATTCATTTTGCGTTGTTTATAACATGCTCTAATGTTAAGCGTCCATTATCAGCAGTGTAGAGATGTGGCTGGTTGCTCAGGGCAAAGTAGAAGCAATGATTTCTGATTTCTTTTCCAAACGCAAACACAGCATCCACTTTTCCCATGCCTCACCTAAGTCAGTGCCAAGGGCAGTTGCCACTATCCCCCCACCCCGTTTTTGCTACATTTGCCATGATTTCATTATTTTTAAGTCTTCCTCAGAGGTATTGGTTGTTGGCTGCAGCCAAGGCAAGGGATTGTAACTGAAGTGTGCCAGTGTTCCTGCTGGGACTCAAAGCCAGAGATTTCTGGCTAGAGGGTTTTCCTCCTCCAATCAGGGTCAGACCAATTGCCATATCTGGAGTCAGGAAGGAATTTTACCTCATCATCAGACAGGTACAGATTGTGGGGGTTTTGCCTTGCTCTGCAGCAGAGGGAACACATCCCTCTTCCTGGGATCTCTTGAGCATATATTAATAACCTTCTATAGATGCAAAGCTTTGGTCAACATGGTCCCCCTGCTTTATCTGGGACAGGTTAGGGTGTTATGTCTTGTGTTGTGTCAAAGATGACTTCAGTTTTCCTAAGAGATTAGATTATGGATTTGTATAGGGTGATTTGAATAAGGATGATCCTGCCTCAAGCTGAGGGTTGCACTAGATAACCTCTGGTGCTTCCTTTCATTCTTACTTCTCTATGATTATATGATTCTATTCTTACTCCCTCTGCCCCCAGTTAGGCCATTTTCATTGGCTCCATCATTGAATAGGTTTGTGAATTGTGTTAAAAAAGGGGGTGGTGAAAGACAGAGAGAAAAAAGAAGTGGCAGACAGGGTGGGGGGAAACCCTTATAAAAATTAGGTTGAAAAAATTATAGCACTGAATTAATGGAAGGGAAATCAATCATGACAAGAAAAGAAGAAAAGAGCCAGAAGTAAGAGAAACAGGATGAAGATTAAAAAAAATAGATACACCCTATATATATATATATATATATATATATATATATATATATATATATATATATATATATATATATATATATATATATATATATATATATATATATATATATATATATATATATATATATATATATATA